AAAAGGTAAAGTAATTATTTATTTAATTTTTATATTGTTTTTTATATAATTTAATAATTGAAATATTCTAAAATTAACAATTTATTTATTTTTTCAAATTTTTTTTATGAAATTATCTTTAATTTTTATATTTGTCTTTTATATAATTTAATAATTAAAATATTGTAAAATTAACAATGTTGATTCTATTTTTTTTTATGAAATTATCTTTAATTTATTTTTTAAAATTTATTTAAATAATATGAATAGTCTAAATTTTAAAAAAAGGTAAAGTAATTATTTATTTAATTTTTATATTTGTCTTTTATATAATTTAATAATTGAAATATTCTAAAATTAACAATATCTTTAATTTATTTTTTCAAATTTATTTAAATAATATAAATAGTCTTTACATTTTTTGAAAATGTAAAGTAATTATTTATTTAATTTTTATATTTGTCTTTTATATAATTTAATAATTGAAATATTCTAAAATTAACAATTTTGTGTTGTTCCTTTTTTTTATAAAATAATCTTTAATTTATTTTTTCAAATTTATTTAAATAATATAAATAGTCTTTACATTTTTCGAAAATGTAAAGTAATTATTTATTTAATTTTTATTGATTAAATAGTAATTGTGTTATTTATTTATTTAATTTTTTATCATTGTCAATATAATATAATAATTGAAATATTGTAAAATTAACAATGCTGATTCCCTTTTTTTTTTTTATGAAATAATCTTTAATTTATTTTTTCAAATTTATTTAAATAATATAAATAGTCTTTACATTTTTCGAAAATGTATTTAATTTGAAATTTTTTGTTTGTAAATATATTTTCCAAATAATAATTATTTTATTTAATTATTTAATTTTTATAATTTTCTTTTTATATAATTTAATAATTGAATACATAATATTATTCGAAATTAACAATTTGTTTTGTTCATTTTATTATTCTTCTATGAAATTTTTTTATTTTTTTCAATTTATTTAAATAATATTTATATTCTTTAATTTTTTTGACAATACATTTAATTTAATTTGTTGTTTTTTGTAAATATATTTTTCAAATGTAATATTTGTGATTGTATGGTAGTTAGAGTTCGGTTCTCTTGATTTTGTGAGATTATGCTTTCTTTTGTTATCTCTTGTTTAATGCTATAACATTTGAATTTTTGCAGGATGGAGTATCATTTAGATGCAGAGTTGAGACGGATGTCGGGGAAAGCTACTTGAAACAGTAGCTTTGAGAGTTTTACTACTGTGTTGGAGCTGCTCGATGATCAGCACGGAGATATGCTACGACAGTCCTTCTTGTGGCCACTGTACCAGTTGCGAGAGGTGCAATACTCAGGACAGATCATTGATGCACTTCTATGTCGGCTTCTGAGGCCAGTCGACGGCGATTCCCTCCAGTTCGACCTCGGGGGCAAGGTCATCAGTTTCTCGATGTTTGAGTTTACATTGATCACTGGACTGAGGATTATGGGCGACGATGCAGCCATGGAGAGAAGCAGTAGGCTGTACGAGACATACTTCCAGGGACATGGGTCGGTGCTTCTACCCGACTTGATGGTCGCGATCAGGGGTTGCGACCATATGCTAGATAGATTGAAGCTTGGGCTGGTCTACATCCTCGAGAGTGTGATGAGGTGTCATCACAAGAAGACAGCCATCGACATTTTTCATTTGCAAGTTGTTGACGACATTGATGCGTTCAACAACTATCCGTGGGGCCGAAGATGCTACGAAGACACCGTACATGTGACCTGATCGCACTCGAGGCCTAGGGGGTCGATGCGTAAATACGATACATATGGATTGCTGTTAGCGGTGCAGGTAAATATTTAATATAATCAAAGTTAAAGTTTTAGTGCATTACATTGATGCTTAATAAGTGTATGTGTTACAGATTTGGGTGTATGAGACAGTTTCTGTACTGGAGGCCCGCTTTGCGCAGCGAGGGGAGACACGCTGCCCTCGGATGCATCATTGGAGATTATCGTGAGCGGAGGGATGTCCCACTGGGAAACAGTTATCGGCCCTCATCGACGATCCTCAGGTAAGTATTATGCATTTGTGATTTATATTATACATAGTTTAAAATTTTGTTTACATAATCGTTAAATAGTTGAAATGTCAATATGTCAGCTTGAAGTCATACCTGAGTTGACGTCATCAATGGAAGAGGAGGCTCGGGGTCTTGTGCTGGATTTAGGCGTTCCGCACACCCCAGACGAGGAGATGCCTGATCCGAGTTTGGACCGAGATTGGGTATGTGAATGAAATATAATTTATTGAATATGATCGACGTATAAATTTATTGAATAATTTTTCATTTTATTTATGTAGGACGGCGGTCCAGCTGATCGACGATCACCTCCGCCGGGGTCATCGCCGCCACCATTGGCATCATCTCCGCCGAGAGTATCGTCCCCGCCATTGGCATCACCTCCGTCAAGGGCACCACCGCCGCTAGTGGCATCACCTCCGCCAGGGCCATCGCCGCCGCCATTGGCATCACCTCAGTGCAGACACCTCCCCCATGTGTCTCCGGGCATAGTGATGATTTGTATGCCCGTTTGACTGGATTTATAGCGGAGGAGGTCGACGCGCTACGACGAGATTTGACGGAGAGGGTTGATGATCTGGGACGAGAGTTGATAGGAAGGGTCGACGATCTGGCAGGGAGGGTTGACTATATGACAGGGAGGGTCGACGATATGGGACGAGAGTTGACAGGGAGGGTTGACGATCTATCCCATGATGTTGGAATACTACAGTCTTTCGTTGTCGACCTTCAGGATACAGTAGCGGCGCTTAGAGGAGATTTAGCCGGCAGACGATGGGGGGGACAGAGGGGATGGTGGAGATCATGATCGAGAGGGTGGTAGAGATGGTGATGGAGAGGGGGGTCACCCACATTTTTGGCGTGATAAGACATTGGAGTCATTGTGGTTGTCTATGGAGGGGGTGGCCTCGATGGGGATGGGAGAGGGGACTACGGAGGGGGTGGCCCCGGAGGTCGAGAGGACGCCCTGCGTGATTGAGGGTAAGAGACATGCTGTTGACGAGACGGAGCAGGTGGTTGGCAAGAGATTGAAAGTGCCGTCACGGTATGTTGTTTCTCCCTTCACGGCTGAGGCCAAGAGGAGGACGTTCATCGATGGGATGTACCCGAACTTATTCAGAGAGGTGGACAATGCCAAGTGGAAAGCGTTCGAGACAGAGTGGAGGAGAATTATCCCCGGGTAAGTATTGTATGATTTTAATAAAGCACTGTACGCTAACTCGTCTACGCTTGTTTTAACATTTCCCTCTTTTTTACAGAGTTAGCCGCACGATAAGACAAAGGACGGTCTCGGACCCTTACAAGTGGTTCCACGATATCACCACTGCGGGAGCTTGGCTCGCTGACGATGTAAGTGAACTATTCATTTCGTGTTTTTTATGTATATGTGACATTGTGTTTATTAAATGAATAACTCATACTTTTTTGGTGTTTCCTGCTGCAGCACATCGACCTGGCCATGGACTTGCTGCGAGATCGAGCTCAAAGACATCCAAAATCATTTGATGTCCATGGTCGAGT